CAGCTCTGGAGGCCCAACCAGACTAAGCATCGATCAAGCCACATCACCTTGACGTGCCCTTTCCAGGCCAGAACCTCAGAGGCAACCATACCCATCCAGAGCCCTCTCCAGGCCTCAACCTGCTGCTCTGACTAGATGACCTAGCAGACTGCACTGCATTAAAAAAAAAGAAAATTAAAATGGTTTTGTAAGGACTTTTTTGTGTTCTTACCATCTGAAGACTCTCCATGCAATTTTCTATTTTTCTGTCCCTTCATCTTTTTTTCAAACCTTCTCCGAAGAGCACTTTTCTGTCATTTTGTTTCTCATTCTCTGTTTAATGCTCTAGTGGAACAGTTTATCTTTGCAAAACATTCTGAGATGCATTTTGCATGAAAGATACTGTCCTGAGGAAGGGCCAGCTCACACTGTGCTGTTTGCACGGAAAGCGAGAAGGAGGAAGAGCAATAAAAGAGCAACTTAATTACTTTGGAGCTGCAGTGCTTCCCACTACCATGGCCTCTGCATGAGGTCCTGACGCAGCCACCAGAGTTGACTGCGAGAGGCATGATCTTGCTGACAACTCCTCTGGTGCTGCTTTACCCAATGTCACTGAGCAGCTCACAGCAGATGAACAAAGAGCGGCAGGACATCAGTGATGTAACCCAAGCTAAAAAAACATCAGGAAATATCAGTGACCTCCGAGAAGCACAAAAAGCCCCATTCTCTGCCCCATTCTCCTCTGCCGAGCAAATGTGTACCCTGTTCCCCTCCCCTTGAGAGGTGCTTTGTTCAAGAAAAGAGTGAAATATCAGAGCACAGCTGCAAAAAAATGAATTCCCACTCATTGCCTAAGTACTGGTATCTTTTCTGTAGCTATAAAAGCTAGGATGGTATGACCTAGCCTACATTACGTAGGTTGAGAATGTGAGACGTACTGAATAGAGCTGGATCTGACTTCTGAGTTCCTCCCAGAGCCAAGGATTACCAGTGAGTATGCCTGACGCTGTGGGGTAAGCACATTCATCAGTAGGAAGGACTTAGGAATTTCCTCATTCCTCAATGGATTAGGCTTTGAACTAAAATCCACTAAAGTTAGAAAAGTCCAAGGGATCACAATTTGTTTTCTTTAGAAAGCACTGATTTTTTTGGCCAGAGCTAGCAACTACATGCCTGGCTTAGCAGCTGCTTCAGTTCTGTTGCATGTGCCTCTCCACCTCTTCTTCCTCTGGCTTGACCTCAGGGGGAAATTCTTGCTGTCTGTCCTGGCTTGCAATTCCACTGCTGGAATAATTGAGCCGTAAGAGATGCTCTTCTCTGGGCTTTTTTCTTTTTTCAAGATTCAAACACTTGGTTTACCACTTTCATTTCTTCCATCTCCTTAGAGTTTTGCACTTAGGCCCCTGTCTATATGACAAAATCAATGTTGAGAACTTTAATCCACCATCTGTCTGTGGACAGTGACATTCCAGTGACATTTCAGACACAGGACTTGTACCAAAGAGCCCTCTAGTCTGAGTATACAAATAAGAACGGACATAGCAAATTCTCAGGGTTTTGGTTTTTTTTGTGGTTTCAGCAGGATTCTTCACCTCTAATCCAATCATTACCAGTAGTGTGGTAGGAGTCTACAATATTTCTTTCCTTACTATTTCAAGAGGCTTTGTGTGTTATTGCCACAATAGCTCATGTAATCAGCAAGTCCACTGTCAAATGTGCCCTTTTCTGCAGTGGCTGCAAGGTGAACTGAGCCAGTGGTCTGCTCTCAGGTGAAGGATACCATAGCACTAATTGATACTCCATTCTTTTTGAGTTCATATACCACGCACAAGACTTATCTCCCTCAGAAGCCAAACCTAAAAAACCCAAACACTCATATCACAAAAACACTGATTTCCTTTTTCATGGGTGAAATACGGAGAGAGCATTTTTGCTACTTGAAAGCCAAACCCATTTCTTTTGTATGCCACTGCTTTCACAGGTTATTATCAAGGACAAATTTGGTTCATTCTTTGATTTCAAGATTTGTATTTAATTTACTTATTCATATATCTTATTCCTCCGAAACTGACTTTTTTCATGGCATCCCAAGTTACTCTTCTACTGAAACTGTATAGACTATACCAAAGAAAACACATCTCACAGAAGTGCCTCTGCAGCACATTACAAACTGCGCAGCTCCCAAAGAGCAATTTAAAATGAAGAACAACCTTTTCCAACATCCTTTTCAGAACTGCACATGGACATTAGCCAGACACAAGACTGAGCTGCAGAGGGTGCATTAAACTCCCCATCTGCTCTTCACAGTGTTCATCACTGATTTATAAGCCACAGTAAAGTCATTTGGCCAAAAAAAATCATAGTGGATGAGATACGCGCACCAGAAGACAGCTGAGCCTTTCCTCCCACAGTGTCCACAGAAGCAAATGTGTCCCATCCAGCCAGTGTTTTCCCAATATTTGATTCCAGAGTATGTGATATCTGTAGGTAAGTCACTCCCTAAATGAACAAGCAAAGCCAGATTTTGTTCTCATTTACGCTACTTTATAGGCATTATCTCAGCTGGTCTTGGCACGACTATTAATTCAGTCCTGTGTAAACGATGTCAAAGTATCCTTGAGGGCCTCAGCGGCTTTCCTGAAAACTTGGAAGAGTTTTCAGAAAGACACCTGCAAGTTTCCACTTCCCAGGGAGCCTGCTTTTCTAACCCACTCCTTCGCCATGCCCAGCCCCTGGTTGTGGTGCTACCACCTGCCCCTCTGCTGACTCTCTGCCCCAGAGGAGCCTGCATTTCCCATGGGCTGCTCTGCACAGTTAGGCGTGGAATCACAGAATGGTTAGAGTTGGAAGGGACCTGAGAGATCGTTTAGTTCTGACCCCCCTGCCATGGACAAGGATGCTTTCCACGAGACCAGGTTGCTCAAACTCCATCCAACCTGGCCTTGAACACTTCCAGAGATGGGGCAGCCACAGCTTCTCTGGGCAAAGACTTCACCCGGTCTCTCTTCGGGAAAGGATCAGCCCCTGGAGCTCGGGAGGGACACATTTGGGTGGTATTTGCTACGGGCCGGCCGTGGGATGGCGAGAGCCAGGTGTCGGCGTGGGTTGACATGATGCCCGATAAATCATAGAATCATAGAATGGTTTGGGTTGGAAGGGACCTCAAAGATCATCGAGTTCCAACCCCCCTGCCATGGGCAGGGACACCTCCCACTAGAGCAGGTTGCTCAAGGCCACATCCAGCCTGGCCTTGAACACTTCCAGGGATGGGGCATCCACAACTTCCCTGGGCAACCTGTTCCTGTGTCTCACTCCCCTCATAGTAAAAAATTTCTTCCTGAGATCTAATCTGAATCTTTTTTCTTCCAATTTAAAACCATTTCCCCTTGTCCTATCATTACCCTTCCTGGCAAAGAGTCCCTCCCCAGCTCTTCTACAGGCACCCTTCAGGTATTGAAAGGCCGCTATAAGGTCTCCCCGGGGCCTTCTCTTCTCCATCTCCCTCAGCCTGTGTTCATAGGAGAAGTGCTCCATCCCTCTGATCATCTTCGTGGCCCTCCTCTGGACCTGTTCCAGCTGGTCCATGTCCTTTCTGTGTTGAGGACTCCAAAGCCGGACACAGTATTCCAGGTGGGAATTCCCGGTGACTTTCACCCTCCCTGCAAGCAGGATGCGGGAGGGGGCTCGTCCCCCCGCAGGGTGAACGAAGCACTTGCCCGGACTCACAGGCTGAGCCGGCAGCCCGTCCCCCGGTCCCCATAGCCCCGGGACCCCGCCGCCCCCGCCCGCTCCGGCGGCCGCGCAGCTCCCCGGGGCTGGGGTCGGCGGG